TCCAATTTTATTAATTTAAGTATTTTCTCTTGTTTGCATAATCATCTTAATTCTAGCTTATATTTTCTGGCATTTAGAATGTTCTTTCTTTCTTCTAAACTTCAGAAGTTTTATCTTACAGAATAAACCTAATTTGATTTTAATCTCAGAACTGCTAGGGACAGTACATCCTGTGAACAGAACTTGGGACCAAATTCCAGATCAAATGCATCACATCACCTAATGTCCACAGTATAATAATCATAGAGATTAAAATTAAGAAATTTGGCTGGACAGTGGTGGTGCACTCCTTTAGTCCCATCACTCAGGAGGCAGGTAGATCTCTACGAGTTTGAGACCAGTCTGGTCTATAAGAGCTAGTTCCATGACTGCCTCCAAAGCCACAGAGAAACTCTGTCTTGAAAACACCAAAAAAATTATGATTTAAATGAAAGAATATCAAAATGAATCTTTCTGCATTTTATTTTACAACATCATGTTTTCTCTTTTACCACCCTCCCCAAAAACAAAACTGTAACAATAACAACACAATCACTTAGTAGCAGGGTAGCCCTGATAAACCTACAGGATCACAGTGCCCCTCCTCTTTCCACTCTCCAGCACCCCACTCCTACTGCCTCCTGAAACAGATGACCCAGTGTGGTGATTTAAATATGAAGGCCTGCATAGACTCATATATTTAAATGCTTAGTAATCAGGTAGTGGCACTACTTGAGAAGGGATTAGGAGGTGTGGACTTGTTGGAATAAGTGTGTCACTGGGGGTGGGCTTCCAGGTTTCAAAAGCCCAAGCCAGGCCCAGTGTCTCTCTCTTCCTGCTGCCTGCAGATCCAGATGGAAAACTCCCCGATACTTCTCCAGCATCATGTCAGCCTGCATGACACCATGCTCCCTCCCATAATTTTATTAACTAAACTTCTGAAACTCTAAGCAAGCCGCAGCTAAATGTTGTATTTTATAAGACTTTCATGATGTTCTCTGCTCCTTCACTATAGTGGAAGGTTTCTAGGTCTCACTAATGGCGAATGTAGTTCTCAGGACTTTTGGGACTCAGCTTCAGCAGGGTTGATGCTCTCTATTAGCCACTGCTCATGAAGACAAATGCTGCTTCCCCTTGGAAACAGATGAAACTGACTGGATACTAAGGAATTGCTTTTACAACTTATAAATTATTTTGAGCTAATTCCTAGAAAGTGGAACTGAGAACCAACCAAAAACAAACCCAGCAACATTCCCCAATGTTATCTCTCCTCCAATTCACTACTGAGATGCTGTTTTTGGCTAAATTACCTCACCTGAAAACTAATGGTACATGAAAAATTCACTAGTCATCAATAATTCTTCTATTTTTGTCATAAGAAAAAACTTACACCTTTAGTGTCTTCTCTGATACACATACTCTCCTTTTTTGTCTTTTTCTCCTTATACAGTAGCTCTGGTTAGCATGGTCATACCTCTCAGAGAAAATCAAGCAGTCAGAGCTATAATAGAGTCAAAGTCACCATACTATGTGGAATACAAACTCTCCCAGGACATCGTTGCCATGGATATGAATTTGGTTTTCAAAAGTTGTCATGAAAAAGATACTCATTTTGAAAAGTTTCTTTTCATGGCAACTGGCAGCTTAATAATTTATTAAGATAACTGATTTCTTGACTGGATCATGTTAGTAAAGAAAACATCAGACTTTCTGTTTTATGAAAGAAAAATGTTTGAGCTTTGTCATTTAAAACAAAAACAGGGAAAGCATATTTTAAAATGTTGAGATTTCAAAGAAGATCTCTTCAACCGACATCTTCTTCCATTGCCCTTAACCCTCAAACCCCCTTTTATTTTCTGTGGCTCTTTGAAAATATATAAACAAAAGCACAACTCCTACAAAATTTCCAGACAGATCATTGACCTTTCATACACACACACACACACACACACACACACACACACACACACACACAAACACACACAAACACACACACAAACTCACAATTTTAAATGCCTTCTTAGTAAAAGTCCATGAGAAACCAAACGCCTATAATCTTGCTCAGGAGAGACTCTCAGCCCTACTTCATTTGAACCTCCTCTTTCTCCTTTGCCTGAGAGGCACTTCCAGAAACTAACAGAGAAACATGGGGTAGGGTTGCTGTCCCCCAAAGGTGTCTAATTATGATATTTCTCACCTTTGCCTTTTCTTTTTATAGTATTTGCCCATATTTTATCTTTTTCCCTCTAAACATTTCAAGGATCAATTCCATCAGTCTCAACCCTCTTAAGAACAAATAGAACCAACAAATTCTGTCAAAGAAGCTGTGAGCTGGATAAGAATGTGGCAGGTTTGCAGCATGAAGAGTCCAGAAATCGTAATGAGATTTACACACAGGGCAATGGAAGGAGCTCTGCTACCCTGTGGAGTTGTTGATGAACCGATATTCAGTTCCTTGGCTTCTGAGCCTGGCAGTTCACACATAATGTTACTGCTATTAGTCTCTCTCAGGGCAATGTCTAAATAATGTAATAACATTTCACAGTTATTAGCCTTTTCTAAGTTATTGCACTTTGCTGGTTCCTGGCAAGAGGCCCATGTCCTGGAGCAGAACTCAACTTTTAAACACTGTAGTGAATGTCCTATTTTAAATAATGGACTTGCCAACGGAAACAAAAGGATTTTATGCTCCTTCAAAAATCATTTACTTATCTATTTTAAGTGTTAGGGTTTTATGCTCTGAGGTGATTAAATCAAAGCTTGGCAGTATGTTCTTTCTCTACAAGTGTCAGAAGAAATGGCAAAGATACATTTCTGCCTTTGAGTTCATTGTCTATGAGGTTCCGGTACCCTAAAAGGTATATATTCAGAATTAGTGAGGATTAAAGTTATGGAAATTTTTGAAGTTGCTATTTTCATAAGACATGGAGGGAGCTGCATGGTAAGAGATAACATCTACTATCTTAACTTTCTTATCATGACCTCTAATGACATGAACTCTCTTCTCAGTGGCATAATTCCCTCCACTTTTGCTGGATAACTTTAGAAAAAGCCCCTTCTTTATTCCTATGTCTGGCGTGTTGGAGGACCATTTCAGTGAACAGCATTATACCTAAATGCTTATGACTTTCTCTTGACACATATTGTGCCTATATAATGTAATCCACACTCTCTTCTCCACCTCTACTTCTCATTTATAAAATATTCTACCACAGTATAGAAAAGGTAAGTCCACTCATTCCTGTCCTAGAAAGACTTCCTACAGCCAAGTGAACATTGAAGTTCATAGCCCCCTCAACACACCACCATTTGACAACAAAGAATTTATGAGGTGGTTAAAAGACATTTAAGGAATTTCTCAACAACCTTAGCCATCAGGGAAATGCAACTTAAAATGACTCTAAGATACCATCTAACACCTATCAGAATGACTAGGAATCAAAACCACTGATGATAGCTTATGATAGAGACAATGTGGAGTAAGGGAACATTCCTCCATTGCTGATGGGAGTGCAAACTTGGACAGCCACTTTGGAAACCATTATGGCAGTTTCACAGAAAATTGGGAATCAATCTACCTCAAGACCCAGAAATGCCACTCTTGGGCATATACCCCAAAAATGCACAATCATACCACAAGGACATTTGCTCAACTATGTTCACAGCAGCATTATTTGCAATATGCATAACCTGGAAACAAACTAAATGTCCACCAACCAAATAGTGGATAAAGAGGAGGCCTCACTCTCTCTGAGAAGTGGATGGGTGGAGGTGGGGAAGAGAGGGGAGCAAGAGGAGGGGAGTGAGGGGAACTGGGATTGGTATTTACAGTAAAAAGGAGTATTTAAAAAAGAATTGAACTCCAAAACAAAAGAGAGAGAGAATGTGTTACATTCTACACAATGAAGTACTACTCAGCTGTAAAGAAAAAAATGACATTTTGAAATTTGCAGACAAATGGATGGAACTAGAAAAAACCATCCTGAGTGAGGTAACCCAGACCCAGACAGACAAACACAGTATGTAGTCACTCATGCAAAGGATAACCAGGCTAAAATCCACAACCCTAAAGAAACTAGGTAAAAGGCGGGACACACATGGAGGGCCCTAGGAAAGGAAAATAGTGATGACCTCCTGGATAAACTTGGAGGAGCATACAAAGGAGAAGATAAGGGATGGAAATATGAGGGATCAAGAAGACTGACTTGGAGGAGGGATGGAACAGCAGAGAAATGAAAGAGATATCTTGATAGAGGGAGGCATTGTGGGCTTAGGGAAAAACCCGGTGCTAGAGAAATTCTCAAGAATCCACAAGGATGACCCTTGCTAAGCATCCTAGCAATAATGGAGAGGGTGTCTGAATGAGCCTTCCCCTTTAATCAGATTAGTGACTTGTCAACATAGAACCTATATCCAGTAACTGATGACAGCAGATACAGAAATCCACAGTCAAACACTGGGCTGAGCTCCTGGAGTTCAATTGAAGAGAGGGAGGAAGTATCACATCAACAAGGGTATCAAGAAAATGATGTGTGAAAACCACAGTGACAGCTGGCCCATGCTAGCGAGATTTCACAGACTCTGAACTGACAGCTGTTGAGCCTACATGGGACCAGACTTGACCCTCTGAAGGATGGGTGGGATTGGCAGTGGCACCAAGACCTATCCCAGGTCCATCAGCTGGCTTTTTGGAACCTGTCCCTATGATTGGATACCTTGCTCAGATTGTTGGCTCATACAGACTTTGGAGATCTCAAGTACCACAATACCACCATGTGAATTGTAGATGAATGGACACAAATGATGAAAAATGAATTAACCAGATTTATAAAAGAGACAAATTTTATGAAAAATGAGAAATGTAAAGTAAACATCTAATAACTCAGCAGTTGTCCTTATAAAATGTTGGGCTGTACTCTCTAAGTTTTACAAGTTGTCGAGACTTCACGTAGATCTTCTTTAGGAAGTAAGCATATTAGCTACCTACCTCATGATTGTGATCAAACATCTAACAAAACAACTTAAGAAAGGTACGGTTTATTTGGTTCACAGATGGAGAGTAAAGTACACAATGTCTGGGAAGGCTTGGCTAGAGGAGCATGAGGCAGCTGATCACATTGTATCAGAAGTCAGGAGCCAGAGAGAGATGAATGCTGATGTTGAGATCACTTTCTGCTTTTTTTCAGTTTGGTTCAGGGCCCATGGGACAGTATTGCCTGCTTTTAATATAGACTGTCTGACCTTATCGCAATATAGAAACTGACTCAGATACGCCCAGTAGTTTGCCTCTAGTGTGATTCTAGAATCCATCAAGGTCAATATTAAAATTTAGTTTCAGTCAACTTCTATTTCTTGGGAATTTCCTATTATTCCTTATGGATGAGAACACATTAGATACAGCATAAAAGGAACAAGAACATTCTTATGACCAAATACGATACATTATAGTATAGTCAGATGGCTTTCACTGACATTGAGAAACTTGATCCCATATAATTCTATATAAACAAACTCGTTATGGTGAAGGGAAGGAAGCCCAGAAGGGACAAATAATGATTTTGAACTGTCATACACCATGTATCAGAAATAACACTTGGCTCATTCCTATGCTTTCCATGGTGTCTTCTGTAAAGGAGAGAGAAACTGTGTTGAGTAATACCAGCTGCATAAATGGGATTCTTAGTTTATCATCAGACAGTATATGAAGAAATTCCTCCTACATCACCCTCATGTTCTCAGATCCACCAATCACAGTATGTAGGCATCAGAGTCTTCACACTTTTTAAAAAACATATCCATGCTTCCGACATTAAAACTGGAGATAATAAATAAAAGAACTTGGGGTAGTTCCTGGAACCTAGTAGAATGGTACCAACACATTAGCATCAGAGTGGAGAAGCCTCTTCCCTCTCCCTTGGTTTTCTGAGTAATTTGTTGATCATCAGAATAACCCATGGAGGAGTACTTTGCTGATATCAGAATAACTTATGGAGCAGAAGAATGTTAAGCCTCAGCAGGGCAGCATTTCGGCCTAGAGTGTGTGATCTTTTTACTGTTTTGAGTACTGGAATTAGTTGACTTATCCAAGTAGGTACTCTATTCTTCACCTTCACACTGTTCCCATTGGTTATTTTCAGTAACTCTACTCTTCAATGGATTCACTTTTATGAAGATGCCTTTATCCTTTTTCTTCTCTTTTACCTTTACCTACATCAGCTATGAATTCTCTTTTTTGATATCATAAACTAAACATCTTCAAAATCATCATTTCCACAAAGCTATTGCAAGAAATTCCTTTTGTACATTTGAACAATTTCTTCTTTGTCTTCTCTAAACAGCATATGAACGATTTACTGTAAGAGGACAGACCAAATGGAAAAGAGAATGTGAGCCTAGCACAATCATTTATGGTCTCAGCTTCCTTACTGTGGACACCATGTGACCAGCTGCCATCATGACTTCTTGTCATTATGGACTTTACCTTGAACTAAGGTCCAACAATAAGCCTTTTCTCCATTGAGTTGCTTTGATCATGATATTTTATCACTGTAAGAGGAAATTAATAACTAACACAGTATATAACAGCAAATTTGTGACTGGTCAGAGCAGAAGAATCCCTTAACCACAAATGACTTGAGTAGACCTAGACCCCAGGAGTAGTGAAATGTGACACCTAGATAAAAAGTTCGAAGCTTCACATTATTGCATTTACACTCCTGTATGCTATCCTTACATTTTCAGTAAACGTTGGTCAAATACTATAACCCAGCCTTAGTTACGATTATCAGCATGGAAATATGTCCAGTTTATAAATTCAATGAGGCAGCTAGAATGGCGTTTTCTGGAAGAGGCAATGACCAGAGGAAGCGAGAACAGAAGGAGCAGAAATCGGGAACAACAGAACAGATACATTGCAGTTCTCAGAGGATCCACACAACAGAAGACACAGGGATGGAGCTGCTTTCGATGGCAGGACCCAAGACATGTTTAGAAATTGTAGTTAATGCTACAGGAGTAAATGCATTGCTTGAACACAGGCACTGCGTTTCTTCAGCTATCTTTAACTTAGAGGTTTGACATTTGAGTACATGTCCTTCTTCTTGATTCCTCCAATATGCTGTGTGTCTCCTTTCCTCTTTTACAGACATCCAGAAACTGAATATCAGTGTTTCTGTGTTACATGCTTAGACTCAGAATCAAGTCAAAGTCAAATCCCTTAAGGCGAAATGGACAGGACAAAAGGAGGCTGCCATGCAGAAGGATCAGGTGGAGAATTAGGACAACTAATGGAAGATGGGAAGTGGGAATGAAGTGGAGGAGTGTGAACTTCTGCTCAGGCTACAATGTGCAGCATTCATTTTCTTAGCATTGACTGTAGTTACTACAACACATGACTATCATCTAATTTAATTGATTGTCACCAACTGCCACATAGCAGTGAAGTAAACCTGAAAGGCAATATTTGTAATGAGTTGCAACATTATCAAGAAAGCAGAGAGAATTAATGGATTCTTAGAAGAGTCCAAGACAAAGCAGGGCAGGTGAGTGCCCGTGTATGTGTCTAAGAGAAGCTGCTAGTACACACATAGCAACATGTCCCACCCTGCCATCTGAGGACATGCTAACACTTATTGAGCACTTCCTGAGCACCCAGGATCAAGCTAAATGTTTCCACTGTAACATCTCACTCCCACCAAGGATCAGACAGGCAAGGGCATGCTATTACCTTTCATGCTTAAATGAGAAAAACGAAGTTTGGAGGGGTTCAAGTGCTGATTCAAGGTCACAGAATATGGTGAATATCGTCTGCATTCTTCGAGTTGTATGTCAGCCCATTACACCATAGGCTTTCTCCTACCAGGTTTGGAATCACTTCTTTCTGGCTGCTTGTACCTTCCTTCTTTCCTTCTGTCAGGTGAAAGTTGTTTATCTCAGGTGAGTATCATTTTTAAATAGCTTTACCCACCTCAGGTGGCTGAGCCTGGAAACCGTACAGTCCTTATCTCAAGTACTCTCTGCTGAAGATATTTTTTTGGTTTAAAGAGCCCGGGGCAGGTCAGGGAACAAAGGGGTAAGCACTCAACTATTTTTGTATTATCTTCCATGTCTTATTAATGATAATGTGACCAAGACCCAGCAATCAGGGAAAGTTTGAAAAACTGAGCACAATGTCAGTACATTCCCTCAAAAGTGGGTATTGTGACCTAAAGTTACTTGGAAAAAGACAACAGCTGTGCTGAGCACAATATAATGGGTGATTGGAAGTTTGGGGTTGTAGAGAGATAATACTGTAGGATCCAGGCCTAAGTACAAGTAATCTTGGGCTGCCTTGGACCCTTGAATAGCTATTGTTCTTCTGTGTGTGACCTAAGACCTTTGCGACTATTGGGGAAGTCTCTTGAGAAAAAACAAACACACTGCCTAATTTTTCCCAACCCAAAAGCTAAGAATGTTGTCAGATGGCTTCTGATGCCTGAGAAAGAAGTTGGTTCTTCTGCTGTCACCCACCAGCATGATGTTTCCACCAACATGCTTGAAAGGTGCCTTGGTGCCTGACTCTCTCTGTTCTGTTACTACAACACAGCTTCACAGAACTATTGCATGTTGGAAGATGGGGTAAACGTGTGTTCCCAGGTGAGAGTTGTTTTTCTTCCATGGACATTATCCAGGTGAGCCGAATAATTTAAACCCTACTGAAGTCTGTTTCCCCACTTCCACTTCAAATGGAGCTGAAAAGGTGTGTAGAAAGCAAAACAGGACGGAAGAGACATTCACAGTCCTAGGCCTGAGGTAACAAGTTGTTTTAACTGTTGTTATCCACTAATAATATTAATTAAAAGAAGTTTTTTGTTTGGCTGGGGGTGGGGAGGTGAAGGGGGAATGGTGAGGGCGGCAGAGAAAATGAAATCTAGCAATGAGTTTTCTTAATTTGCATTGTATGAGTAGTCTGTGTCCAAGGTAAATATTTTAATAAACATAAAGCAAACACCTCTAGTGAGACCAGGCCCTGTGGTTCATGCCGAGGACACTCAAATCAATATGAATTGTGTCCTACAGGGTAGATTTCTCTAAATATTTATGACTATTCCCAGAGAGAGGAAAATGAAAGCTCAGGGTCCTAGAGAAATGAATTGTCTTTTCAAGGTCAAATGCCATAGACATTTGTGGGCAAAATGATAAGTCAGACCTAACGCCTGGGATATCCCACACTGCCTTCTGCAATGCTGCCTCAACCAAACATAATTAGAAATGAAAAACTTGAGAAAACTAACACCCAGTATACAATGAATTCTAGCATCAGCTGTAAATTATTCTCTCCACTAGTGCAGGAAATTGGGTATTAACTGTGTTTAAATCAGGGGAAAAAACAGAGCTGATTTAAATTCTACATGCGAAGATCATTTAGAAGTTGAAAACTCTGTAACAAAAAGTCACAGACAGATTCTCAAGAAGTTGAAAACTCTGTAACAAAGAATCATAAACAGATTCTCATGCGCTTCGTTCAAGCCCAGCCTGGCCCTATGTTGGTTGTTGCTAATGTATTTCTGATGCTAAGGGAGTGTATATTGGGGCAGGGGCAGGATAAAGAATAAGCTGTAGGGAGTGATATTTGACAGTTGTTTTTACTACTGACACTATCTTTCTATAGTCTCAAACTCCCAAAGAATCAGCCCCTAACATCAAGTCCTTAAACACACAGAACAGAAAGAACATGCAGCTACATCCAATGGGAGATCTTTCTTAGACTTTCTGTGTGGTAATCACAAAGCGAAGTCACAAGCCAGTGACTTCCTGGCTTCAGGAGGAAGCCAGTCTAAAGCAGATTTTCTCACTTCTGTTCCTAACTCTAATGTAAAACCTGAAGGCTTCCTCTTGGCCAGAGCCAGAATGAGGCCATAAGCAGGGATAAGCAGCCTGGGCAATGTGAGGCTAAGAGAGAACAACAGAAGAAATGGAAATGGAAGGGATTGGTATGTTAGAATTAGGCAATGATAATTAATTATACTAACATCTCCTATTATAAATGACTACAGTGTGCCAATCATTGTTCATAAATCATCACTAACATGTAAATTGAGTTCTCTATCTGCATGTTAAGGGATGACATCACAGAGAGTTTGGCAACTCTCATAGATTACCTGAGGCTCGACAGCAGTTGTCAGCATAGTATTATCAAAATCTACTGTCTGTTATCAAAATCTGCTGTCTGTTATCAAAATCTACTCATTTTCTACTTGGTGTGCTACATGGCTATTAAAAAATAGAAAAAGACTGAGAATGCACTTACTACTCCCTGAATTCAAAACTTAAAGTATTTACTTTCCTCCTTTGGAAAACAAAGAAATTAAACCTCATCTAGAAGCATCTTTAAACAAACAGAAACTTAATACCCTCAGAAATCTTCTTTGGCAAAGCATACCTTATAATAGCTCCAAGATTACTTTATTTAATTCTCAGTTTATAAAACCACTTTGGTTTAAACAGAATAAATACAATGAGCATCATAATGAAGTGAGACTCTGCAAGTGGAAATAACCATGTATGAACAAAAAATTTGCAGTTTCTTGAGACCCATCATAGAGACAGATGTTTAAGTCTAGTGTCCTGACCCTACATCATGGAAGAGTAATTGGAAGGTATTATTTTTAGGTCACATTTGTCATATGCATCTGCTTGATCTTCATGCCCCCAAGTATTTTGGGTTCTGTTTAAATGTATTCGTAAGTGTGAGACTCAACTTCTTTTGAAAATTCTTGCACTGAGCTCAACCCATTAACATTATAAATCATAAAGAATATAATGCTTAAAATTTCATTTTTAAGGAACATTTCTCTGTTGGCAACATCTCTTGCTTCCTCAAGAACAAGTTAGAAAATAAAAAAGAAGTAAAGGCTGGAATATTGTGCTGAAGGTATTCAAGATAATGTGTAATCAGAATAATGTTGAGTGCCAAGTGTGATACTGGTTTCTGGAAACGTTTATCTTATGAAATGAATCATAATCACAGTACAGTGTCTTGGCATGAATAGGAAAAGTAAAGTTCCCTTTACAAATTCTTTCCCCCACAATAAAATCTAGATGAATGACATGTTAGTAATTTCCTGAGATGTGTCATTAAAAATATTGCTTCCAGACGTCTGCTTTTCTCTAATGTACCACGTGTTTCAATGATTTGGTTTGGTAGACCGACAAAATTGACTACAGTTGGCTCCTTTTGGGAAACAAATAGAGAACAAGTACCCTGAGCATTGTTGCTGAGTGTGACTCATGCATATGTGTTACACGATGCAGTTTACCTCCACCTCACCCCTTCCAGTCCCAAGATCTAAACTTCTAATTATCTGGCACCAAACCAATATGCCCTCTACATTAGCCAGTATGATCTTTGAAAGCAAGTCAAGCATCACACTTTCCTGTGTTCCTTCAGTGAAGCCCAATTGCACTTAGGTCTAAACCAAAACTTTAGTCTGATCTGTGGGGCTCTGCATGACCACATGCTACCCACTGCCTCCATCCTCTTGTATTATGTTCCCCAAAGCTCTTCCTCCACCCACACTGGACTTCTGAGTCTTTCCTGACTCAACCTTTACCTCCTTAAGTATGTCTAAGTTCCCTTAACAAGGTTTTCTTCCTGATTCTTTTTTTTCCTGGAAAGTTTAGTGGGTGTGTTCATTTTTCTTGGGCTGTCTCATTATACCAAACCACATAGACTCAGTGAATTATTTGCCACTGTATCCCATGTATAGTACAAATCATGACAGAGAAGTACTTGTTTTATGAATATATTTCCTCTTTTCAGTTGCTTTTATTTCCATTGCTTTTCCTATTCAACCTGACACTCTTCAGAAAGTCTCCTAGAAAATGTTCTTACAAACCATCCTGATGCATCTTACATTCACCTCCTGTATCTTAATGAACTGCTTAGTTAATGCTCTTTTCTGCTAAGCTATGGTCCACAACTTCCCATCCCTATGGTATCAGTCAGAGTATGGGGTGTAGCACTAACAGAGCCTCAGACATTACTAACATAAATATATAGAGTATTAAGGACAGGTTGGCTGCTTCTCAAAACAAAGTCCCACTTTAGGAATGAATCTGCAATGTGAGCATGCATGTGTGTGTTGGGGCAGGGGTGCTGGTTGCCTGCCATTGACTGAAATTTGCCCTTGGCCTTGTCCACAGCAACAACCCACGTATTTCAACAAGCAAGAGCAAAGCAGGCTCTTCTCAGCAGTTCTATAAGGCTGTGTGGAATTGTTGTATGAAATTGATTCATTTCTTGGGTATCGTCTTCCTACCTGTACAGAATGCCTCCAAGGGCTTAGCTATGGTGTCTTCATTTGCTTTTGAAATATGAATAGACTTGGCATTGCTTGGCAAGAATTATCCTTTTTGCATTCTCCTTGAGGTAATAAAAATGGAAAAAATCTTTTAAGGGAAAAAGTATGGATTTGAAATGATCTTTTTGAAATGAAGAACTAAATTAAAATGCAAGCACTCTAAGAAAACTTTGCTCTATACCCTGGCAGTAAGAGGAAAGAAGAAGGAAGGTGTTGGTGTTATATTTGTGTGACATAATCCCCTCACATAGAAAGACGTACGGCGCAGATGATGAATTTAAGTAGGCTAATTCCAACTCTTTCCTTAGGGATCTGGAATTGATATTTCATAATTCTGGCCACCTTTTACTTTTCTTGAGTTAGGGAGAGAAAGGCCAAGAAATTATAAGACGAAGAACAGCAAGCCAGTCTACCAAGATAAACTATGAAAAAGCATAGGAGTCAAACAGAAGAGAAGGATGACACAGGCACCAATAGACAGAATAATGAGGCCT